TCACCCCACGGAAGAGAGGGGCGGGGTCAGCAGAGCTCATTAGCATTTAAAGGGACATGAACCAAAACGGCTCGCTGTGAACAGAGCTGTTTTTGACAGGGTAAAAAGGGTGTTTTTACACTACCATTGAGAAATTTTATCCGAAGTATGTTATAGACTTTTCATTAAGACCCTAAAGAATCATATCAACTTGTGGAAAATGGGCATCTGATGACCCCTTTAAGAATGTAGCCAGCCGTTGATCTGGCCACACCCAAGGTTTTTGCTATCTCTCTATTTTAGTTTAATGATGGCCTCCTTCACTTTCATCGAGATCTCCTTGGACTTCATATTGGTAGCAGCAGTCAAACAGCTTCCAAATGCCAATTTTAACCTCATATCAACTTCAAATCTTTTGTCTGCTTAATTTGTCTTGAAGTAACGAGGGAATGGACAGCACCTGGTCAGTTAACCTCTTCTTCATCAACTGTCCCAATACTATTGAGCCCCTGAAAATGGAGGTACTTTGCTTAAAATGTCTGTAACTCCTAAATGGTAAATGTCATATTTTTGTGGAACCTCTTAAAATGAAGCTAAAAGTCTGCACTTCAATCACATCTTGATTGTTTTATTTAAAATCCACTGTAGTGGTGTATAAGGGCAAACACACAAAAATTCAGTCAGTGTCCGAATACTTCCGGACCTGACTGTATCAAAGGTTTGGGTCATTATTTTTTAAATAAATTAATACTTTTATTTAGCAAAGATGTTTTATTATAAGTATTTGCTATCAATTACAATCAACTTATTTTATTACAAAATATTTCTATTTCGAATAAATGCTGTTCTTTATAACCTTATATTCATCAAAGAATTCAGTAAAAACTATAACAAGACAACCACAAGACAGTCCCCAAAAAAGGAATGGTTTTGCAGGTGGTGGCCACAGACAGCTTCTTTAGAGCTGGCATTTATGAACCCCTCATCACTGTTGCCTGCCCATGGTTCTCGAGGGATGCTCTGGCAATTTTTGGATCTGGCACTTCTTTTGTATGGATCCCCCTTCATTGTGGGAGTAGTGAAGGGGGACCCCAGCAGTGCAGATGCAGTTACTCCAGGGACTCCACAGTTTGCACTGGTCATCCCAGAACCAAAGTCCACTCCAGTCTTCTTGTTGACCCATCTAGTACTCCACCGTTCAATCTGGACACCTTGTTTGGTCATAGCACAGCGTAGCAGGAAAAGAAAGTTATTCACTTCCAAACACTCTGGAGAGTTCCATGGACTGGTGGTTCCAAGTCCAGGCTAAGCCAAGGAGGCCATCACAGGTTGAATCCTCACTCCACGTAAAGTCGACATTAGCTGCCCTGTCTGTTTTTGGGTACTTCACACTCCTACCTGCTCTGTTGTCTTTGCTGGTTTCGTCCAACTATCTAGCTCCACCTCCGTGGCCAGTTATGTCAGTTCCCTGGTTCAGCATTATAATCCAACTTGGCTGACTCTCCTTAGCCCTTAATCCCCATCCACCATGGTCTTCAGAGGGCTGGCCTTCATCTTGATTGTTTTATTTAAAATCCACTGTAGTGGTGTATAAGGGCAAACACACAAAAATTCAGTCAGTGTCCGAATACTTCCGGACCTGACTGTACACACACACACACACACACACACACACTCACTCACTCACTCACACACACACTCTCACACTCACTCACACACACACACACACACACACACTCCCACACACA